GCTGGGTGGGCTAGTGAGAATTCGCGGAGCAGGGTATTTGGAGACACTAGGACTTTATGGAGGAGACACAGTATCACACTGGCCAGACCAAAACGGAAAGGAGGACAAAGAATAAGCAGAGTCCTCAGAGAACACTCGCATCCACAGGCACAGACCACAGCAGCCTCCTGACCGGGAGGGCAGACTGCGAGAGACGCAGCAGGCATCCCACAACGGGAGTGGGGCAGGCAGAGCAGGACAGGCAGCGAAGGACCAGGAGAGGAGGGGGGATGGGGAGCAGGTGCGCACAGGAGCGAAATGAGGGCACTGGGGAGAGAGTTAATGAGTGGCAATGAGTGCTGCGCGGGGAGCCCTGCTGCCACGGGAACGAGGCATCTCAGGACCAGGGATTAACCAGACGGACAACACGGCGCCCCAGGTGCTGGGCTAGTCTAGGCTCTGGTTCACTTCCAGCTAGGTAAAACGTCAAACACAGGAAGCCTCCCTGACATAACTTTCAATATTTATCAGGTAAATAAGCAGGCTTGCTGTTAACTCCAGAACAGGAGCTGCGTGAGGTGTCAGTTTAGAGAAAGTCCTTCCAACCCCTGGTTCCACTGGCCTTCAAAAGGAAAACCTGGTCCCCAAGGCCCAGTTCCTATGTGCTTCCCAGTTTCGCTTAGGCCTTTCAATCAAAATGCTTTACTGCCGTTGATTTGGCAGCTTGAAATCAGAATAAGGGGCCCACACAGGACTACAGGCATCGGAGTTCAGGTTGGTGATGTCCAGTGAGATTCTGATGGCTGCCATCTTCTAGAACCTGAGTCACCGCACAAACTAACGTCTGATGGAGGCAGAGGAGGCCAAACAAACCAGAAGGGGTGGGACTGCCACCTGGGGCTGAAGGCAGCTGGGTCAATGCTGGCATTTCTTGCCCCATCCCCTGCTCCCTGCAAACAGCCTGGAGGCCAATTCCACACTAGTAGCAATAACAAGTGTGCTAGACTTCTCTATTTAGGTCTGTTTTCAAGACTTTTATTTAGAACATTTCAAAGTAGTCCTTTCCTCTCAGCTAACTGCCCAGGAAGACGACAAAACAAGCCATGGTCCAGGGGTGCTCGGGGTACCTGCGTGCTGTGGCCCAGGTCAGGGGACCGCTCGCTGTCGGAGCTGTTGGTCCTCTCACTCAGGGGCTTGGAGAGCTGCCGCTCCTTCAGGGGTGTGCTCCTCTTCTGCCGGGGAGTGTGCCCCCCTTCCACTTTGCTGCCAGACATGTGACAAGGAGGAGGTGAGACAGCCCCTCTGACCCCAAGCCATTGCCAGCCCACTCTTCCCTGGGCCACAAGCCTCTGCTAAGTGTGGTCGCAGCCTCACACCATCTGTTTGGCCTCCTTTATTCTGCACCCTCCGGCCCCCGTTTTCAGAGTTTCTTCCCCTCATGAGTACCTGGGCGAGGCAGAGCCTTGGAGATCTGTTTTGCTGGACTTCATGGGAGTTTTGACTTTTTCTGGCACAATCAGACTTGTACTCCCATCTCCAAACATGTCCTGGTCAGTGATCTCCTGCCATGGAGGAAAGGAAGCAGCGAGGCTTACTGCTCACTAGGAGCCTCTGGGAGTCCTGCCAGGGCCCATCACCACCATGAGGAGAGTCAGTCATTCCCTCTTTTTCTAAAGCCCCCACCTCACCCGGTGAGAACACTGTGGCTGTAGGACTGAGTGCGCCCACTGTGCTGGACAGCCTTGCTATTCAGTCTGTCCCCTATAGTTACGAACTATTTGTCAACACACAAACCTGAACTGAGGTTCTAGCTTCTCTAGGTGGGAAGGAGAGTTTTAATCAGGAACATTATTACATTTCATTTTTAAAAGACCACTGTGCAGAAAGGGCCAAAGTGGACAAGAGTGAAAGCCAGGTTATTCAGATTACTGGTGAATACAAAGCGCATGTTGTATAGTAAGTTTTAAGTTAATCTTGAATCAAGCCTAATGTTTCACACACCAGGATCTTGAATGCAGTTTTATTTACAAAAGGAAGCATAGCCTAAAACAATTCTTTCTTGGCCTCCACTAAACTACCAGGTCTCACTGTGAGGCTGATGCATAGCACTCCCCCAGATGGATTCGGTCAAGTTCTCTGCTCCCTCCCACCAGGTCCAGCTTCCAGCCCTCCTGGATGAACTGCAGCTTATCCTTCGAGGCCCAGCTCAGATGTCCTCCCCCAGGCGGAGTCACTCTGTCCTTCAGCCTCTACATGGGGTATGCATGGGTTGGCTTTCCTCCGCAGGGTTGCATTTTGAAGGCAGAGGCATGTTCTCATATTTGCATCTTCAGTGCTAAGCACAGATGCTCAGTATATGTGTGTGGTATTCAATGTTTAAATAAATCGTGTACCCCAGCCAGTTCATTCCATTTCATTAGGGCTTGGTCTGCACTCCTGCGCAGCTCTAGCATCTCTCAGAGCAAGGAGTTGACCAGAATTCCTTGGAGATTTAATGTTGTGGCTGCCTGGCCATACATAGTAAGAGCAACATGGGAGGAAGAGATTTTTTTTTTTTAGGGGAAGATACTGGTCATCATCTCTCAGAAATAAATGAGGGTGACAGATGGTGAGAAATTATCTAAATTAGCATTTGCTCAGCTATAATTGGTGAAATAACCTGGTCTCCTGGTTCCACTCCATGGGTAAGGACTTCAGGAGGAAGAGAACACAGGATATTCACAAGTCCACAATTTAAGTAAAATCCCCATGGTGTTCCTAAGGGTCTTTTTGCCTTTGTTTCTAAAGATACAAAAACTATTTTAAACAGCTGAAATGGGAGGCTGAACCATACATACCAGGGTGTCTGTTTCAGTCAAGCTGTCATCTTGATTTTTAATCCAAGCAGATTTGACTTTTTCTAGAGCAGCCAATTCCATCTGTAAAAATTATACTAATTAGTCATCACCAATCCAAATGATCACCACCAACTTGTTTTCTAGGTACCACAGAAACTTAAATATTTCACTTAATCTAAAGATCTAATGCACCCTTTGGGATTTTCATCTTATAACCATCTTATAAAGAGGTTATTTTGGTGAAAACTAAGCCAGAGGTCAGTCATTTTTATAATCACTAAATCAACAACACAGTGAGACATAGAACCCATAGTTTCTGACTCTCACAAGATGTCATTAGGGAAGAGAAGCTCAAAGTTTAGAGGGCTTTGCTGTGGGGTCCATATAGTCTTGCCCTGAACTCAGTAAAGCCCCTCACCCAGAAGGAACATATGGGGCCCCTTCTGCTTGTCAGAAACTGCTGAGAAGAAAGGAGGATCTTATAGTTCAGGTCCTTGATTTTGAGACTGAAGACATCCATAGTAGCCAAATGCTTTTTGCTTGGTGTTAAACATCTAGAAAACCCTCAAACAGACTATACCAAACAAAGACAACCAATGGTAAGCCTTTTAGGTGTGAACTAATTATCCCTTTGTTCCCAACTCTTAGCATTTCTCATAAATATTAAAAACTTATTTTGCCAATACAGATAAACAGCCAGGATTTTCATATTTGCTAATATTGCTTCTGGATGTGCATGTACCAATGTCAACGTCATGAGCAGTTAAGAGTTATGGGATTTAGACACAGAAAAGGTATTTAAAAAAAAAAACTGTTACAAGAGTTATTTGAGGCAAACTGACGACAGTGCTGGGAGCAAGATCTCAAATGCTCCAGAAAAAAAGTATTGGCCTCAGTGAATCTCTGGTTCTTGTGGGGAACCAGGAAGTCAGAAAAGATCCAGGATAGCCTACTTCTTCCTAATCACTTGAAGTCCTTCCTCTGAGTATTGATAAATATCAGATTAATAGGCTCAAGGGGTCACTTGGCAAACTAATGAACAAGGATCACAAAAGTAGGCCCCTGTGCCCTGGCTGGAAGGCTCAGTTGGTTGGAGCATCGTCCTGTACACCAAAAAGGTTGTGGGTTCGACTCTTAGTCAGGGCACATACCTACATTGTGGGTTTGATCCCCAGTCGGGGTGGGTATGGGAGGAAACCTATTGATGTCTCTCACATCAATGTTTCTCTCTTTCCCTTCCTATCTTAAAAAAAAATCAAGCCAAAACCGGTTTGGCTCAGTGGATAGAGCATTGGCCTGCGGACTGAAAGGTCCCAGGTTCGATTCCGGTCAAGGGCATGTACCTTGGATGCGGGCACATCCCCAGTAGGGGTTGTGCAAGAGGCAGCTGATCGATGTTTCTCTATCATCGATGTTTCTAACTCTCTATCCCTCTCTCTTCCTCTCTGTAAAAAATCAATAAAATATATTTTTAAAAAATCAATAAAAACACCCTCAGGTGAGAATTAAAAAATAAGAAGAAGGCACCTGAGTCATACTCTGAACCAGGTTTCTCCATCTGGGCACTGCTGACATTTGGGGCAGATCTTCCCTGAGGCTGGGCTGTCCTGTGTGCTGCAGGTTGTTTAGCAGCACCCTTGGCCCCTGCCCCCTAGCTCCCAGTAACAGCCCCTTATCCCCACCCTGCCTCCTGTTGTGACAACTAAAAATGGCTGCAGTCATTGCCAAATGTCCCCTGGGAGATAACTAGTCATCCCTGGTTGAGAACCACTGATCTAAGCCAGCTCCAAGACTAACCCAACATACTTTAAACAGACCCTGTGACCTCAGATTTTGAGAAGGTTTGGTTCAGAGCCATACACAATCAGCGGCCTCCAGATTACACAGCTACGTCATTTACACACTATATAATAACCAATGTTAACAGAGTAGAATCATGGCAAAGTCCTGGTCAGACTTAAGACTAAAGAGGATTTCACTCAATTTTGGGTCTCAGTGTGACAAATGATGGGTGATAACACCATTTTGCTGGAAGGGTTTTTCTTGTGTTTAATATATTTAAAAAAAATTGATTTCAGAGAGGAAGGGAGAGGGAGAGATAGAAACATCAATGATGAGAGAGAATCATTGGTCAGCTGCCTCCTGCACGTCCCCACCAGGGATCGAGCACACAACCCAGGCATGTGCCCTTGACCGGAATCAAACCCAGGACCCTTCATTCTGCAGGCTGACACTCTATCCATTGAGCCAAACAAGCTAGGGCTGCTGGAAGGTTTTAAAGTAGCATGCCCTGCAGCCACAGCATGTTTCCACAGCAAAGCTGGCACACCGACAACATCTTTAACTTGGTTTGGGGTTGGAGGGCACCTGTCAGCTATTTACTGACTCTCCTGGATGTCCCTGGCAACCTACTAGGAGCAAACTCCAACTCTCTGAGTTTCTATTCCTGCTCCTATAGATACTAAGGGCTTTTCTCTCTGCAGGAGCCTGGGACACTGGCAGTGCAGTAGCCATATCTATCTAATTGTGTGGCACTGGAGGCAGATGCTAGTACTCTGAAGCACTGTGCCTGGGGGCGATGCTGGCTGCTGCAGAGGGTGCACAGGCTCGTGTGTGTGGGTGGGCGGTGTGTGGGGGATGTTTTCAGCTATCACTGTGATGAAGTATTAGTCTCTACCACCACTATGTACAGTGCATGGAAGCAGCAGTCTTTAGCAGCAGGCAGTCCTGACTAAAGGGCTGCATCTCCTGACTGCCCCAGCGGCAGCACTGGCAGGGCCCATTGTTACCAGCTTGTACAGCAAATAATGTCACTGCTGTGTGCTCAAGTCTTGGGAAAACTCAACAACTGTAATAATTTGTATTAGCAGAAATTCCTTCTGCTTCTAGTGATAAACGAAATCCTCTAAAATTTGGGGAACAAAAAGAAAGATTAAGAAAAATAAATAAATAGCAATGACAGGATATCAGGGAGCAAGGCCAAAAGGGGCAGCACGTGCAGGCCTGCCTATGCAGCACAAGCTCAGTATTTTTTCCTAATACATTTACAAGTTCTCCATGTAAGAGCACAGCCTCACTCTGTCCTTCCTTCCCAAAGTGCCTTTCATACGAAAGAATTCCAAAGTTCCACACCCACATCAAAACATATGGGGCTCTTCAGAAAGAAATCAAGAGAATGCAAAAGCGAGTCTGAAATCTAGCCTAAGAAACCCGAATTTGAACTAATAATATACAAGTTCATCCAGTAACATGAAACAGACCATGCAAGTACCATCTTCTCACTGATCTTCACACAAAGTGCCTTTCAGCTACAAATGGAACAAGGTTCACCCAACATTCAGACAACTGGTGAGCTCAAGATTAAACTCATCAGGACTCAAGCACATGCAACTGATACCTGCCAAATAAACCAAATGAAGGACCACTTAATAATGTAAAGACTCTACTCATTGCTTTACACAACTAGTTATCCAACTTTTCCTAAAAAGGACACCGCAGAGGATAACTGATTTTTCTAATGTTATCTTCACAAGCTTAAAGAAAGCCTACAATACATTCCAATAACGAAACCCATCAAGTGCAAAGAGTTCTTAATACAACGTACACATTTGAGCAGATCACCCCTGCCCTAGAGCTAATAGTCATAGTTTGCTCTATCATGCCGGCTACTGACCTCCAGTTAACATCAATAAATCTATAACTGCCATTGTGTATACAGGCAAGAGTCCCCGTTCTGGGGATTCCTAGGGACATCTATGGACAAGAGTCCTTCCCCTAACCGAAGGTTTCCCCAGGTCGTTCTCTCTAGAAGAGTCATCCCTATATTTATTTTTAAGACGGAATCTGGCTCTAGTGGCCAAGGATCTGTCCACGTGGACAGTGACGATTCAGCAGGGCCATCCGGCAGCCCCGGGAGAAAGAGCAGCCGCCTCCTAAACACAAAGAGTGAAGTGAGACTGCCTCAGCTCCAGATCACACGAGCCTGGGCTGGAAAGCTGCTGAGGGCACAGGGTCTGCAAGTGGCAGGCCCTAAGTTTCCCTGTGGCGGGATTCTCAGTGATTCCTGGTGCTGGCTGCTTTTCCATCCCTCCTTTCCTCACCAACGCCACCTGGTGTCACCATTCTAGGGCCTGCCTGCCTGCTGGGCCTTCACCAGGAAGAGGGATTAGGTGGAAGACAGCCCCACCTGGAGGCAGCAGGCAGTAAGGCAGCCCACCAGCTGCCCACTAGCCAGCTGCACACTTGGGACAGGTGGCAGTCCTTCCACAGACAGTGCTTTTCAGGGGATGGGGCACCTCGCATGCTTCATATTATTTCCCCACAATTAATACCTATTTGCAGGATGAATTTTGTATTCCTTCTCTGAAAGCGGCAAGAATAGGAAGACTTAAAAAGATTCAATTTCTGCCGAAACCGTTTGGCTCAGTGGATAGAGCGTCGGCCTGTGGACTGAAGGGTCCCAGGTTCGAATCCGTCAAGGGCACGTACCTTGGTTGCGGGCACATCCCCAGTAGGAGGTGTGCAGGAGGCAGCTGATCGATGTTTCTAACTTTCTATCCCTCTCCCTTCCTCTCTGTAAAAAATCAATAAAATATATTAAATAAATAAAATAAAAGATTCAATTTCTTTGACCTAAGACAAGACATTGGGCTAAAATCATGCACGTCATCTTCTTGCCTTTAGTTGTGAACGAGGGGAAGAACAGCTTCCCAGGGCCTGAGATAGATACAGCATCAACCTGGGTCCCTGCCTCTGCTCCTCTACTGGGAGAACCTTCCCAAGCAGAACAGAGACGGTCCAGGGTGATGCTGGGCTCCTGGGGTGCTACAGCAGTCAGCACCTTTCTCCTCGTCATCAGGCAAAACGGGAACCTGCCCACTAAATTTTAAATTATTTGAGAGCACTGCCCCCTTTATAAACAAACCTACATATGTTCCGTGTCTCCTGAATAGACCTGTGGGCTTCCGGCCCACTTTGCACCTGTTCTTTCTCCAGCCTGGAATGCCTAATCGATTACCATTGGTCGGACACCATACTCCCAGCTACCGTGCGACAGACACTGAGGGAGAGGTTCTGAGGCACTGTGTGCTCTGGGAGGGAAGGCTCCAACTGAGGGTGGGATCAGACCAAAAAGAACACCCAATCGGCCACAGCAGTGCCCTCAGACAGCTAAGCTCCCAGCGAGGACTGAGATGACAACCGAGGTTGAAACAAGAAGAGATGCTCTTCTGAGGTCACAAAATGAGCCAAGAGCAGAGGGCCCAGAGTGTTAAGCCCCAACACGTCCCAGGTCCCTCTCCCCTCCCCATAGCCATTGGTCTTGCTCACAGGGCTGGTAGTGTCTTTGCCGAGGCTGCCCTTGCTGTTGAGGCTGCCAATCTCCGTCTGTGAGCTGGACTGCGACATCCCCTCAAAGAAGGGCCTGCGGTGAGGAAGCACAGCCAGGTCAGTGGCCTCCAGGGCCCAGAACAGCTGCTCCTGGGGAGCTGGGTAGAGCTGGTGTTCAAGAAAGATCAATGACCTGGCTTCAAGGACACCTGGTGAGGAAGGACACAGCAGAGGCTGGACAAGTAGGGACCTGGACTGAAGGACTTTTGTCAGTTAGAAGCAAACACAATGAACTTTATCCAGATAGCTGGAGGCTCAACAAGAATGAAGAATCGAGATTCCCTGGTAATGGGGGGAAGTGAGGGAGGGTCTAGGAAGGAGAGGTATGGGGAGACAATTTGCTAGATGAGGTGGGGTCTCACTTAAGCTTGGGCTTTGGAGTGCTAAGGATGCTCTCTGTCTCCTCCATTTCAGGGCCACTGTCGCTGGGGTTGTACATCTCCAGACTATCATACAGTTCATCCAAGTCCTCCTCCACCTCGCGAATCTGCTCCCGGGATACGTGTTCCAGCCCAAAGCCCACCTGCAGGGAAAAAAGTCTTTAGGGTAATCCGATTTACAATTATGGTGGACGTGTAACTCCTTCCTCCTGGACAGGTACCATGGCCTCCCTAGAGAGTCCCTATTGAGGGACAGGCCATAGCTTCACCCTCCTCGGGGCAGTCTCTGTGAACCTGGTGTCAGGAAAAGTGGCAGTGCTAGCATCTCTCTCCCAAGGAACGGGCACAAGGAAACCCAGAAGCCATGACCCAGTGACAACTGGCACCAGGCCGGCTCGACCAGGGAGAGACTGCTGCTCTATCAATGGCCAATTCTTGGTTACTCAAGGTTTGAGCACTGAAGACACTCCAGGTCTCACACAGCTATTGCTCACGATGTCCCCCTTGGAATGGGCGGGAAAGGGAACCTACAACAACAGCTGGATTTACTGCTGATCCCCTGTACCAGAGGCTGGGATTAAGCAATGGCTGGGTATAACCCTGCTGCCCCATCTCCAAATACTGAGAAGCCTTGGGTGCCACATGTGAAGTCTTTCTCTTTTCAAGTAGCTTAAAGCCCTTCTTTAGCTACCTTCTTGCTTGGGGGTCCCGGAATCTTGACTGCCAGTGGCAATGAAGAGTGCACCCCAGGAACAAGGGTGCAACTCAGGGAAATTTACTCACCATCAACCTTGAGAGTAAGGGGTCGTACCTCATCTGAAACTTTAAACCGCTTCAAGAGGGCCACAAACTTCTGTTTGATGTTAGGTTGCTGTAGGGACAAACGGCACAACAGTTCTTAACACCCACTTGTGATCGAGTCAACAGAGGACCGAGCCCATTTTCTGAGAAACTGTGGGAGGACACAAAGGTGGGAAGAGACAGCTTCTACCCTCTGGCACTTCAAATCTATGACTAATTCCAGGGCACAGCACTGGTCCCTGGTGCTGTGGGCACAGGTGCAAGGAGGAGGTCTCAGGGTCCCCAGGGCCCTGCACCACGCTTGCACTGGTAACATCACATGTGCACCTGCACTCATTACTTTCGCTTGTTCTTCAGATCCATGGTGCCTCAAACTCACAGGCATCTCAAACGCAGCATTTCCAAAACAGGAACTCACTGTCTTCTCCTTATATTCCCTACCCTGGTTACTGATGTCACCATTCACCCAATTGCCCGACTCTGAACATGGAGTCTCTCCCCTCTCCTTTCTGCCCTGTGTTCCTTAACTGCTACCCTCTCCCCATCTGTAACATCACTGCTTTCCTCTAGGCCTTTGTCCTCGCCTCCCTGGGATCACTGCATCAGCCTTCAGCAGGCACCTGCCCATGTCCAGCCACTTTCCAGTCTGTCCCCTCTAAAATCCAGTGACCATTCCAAATGCAGATCT